CAATTTTGTTTAACAACCACTTTTCTTAAAGGTGGGGTAGGTAATTTTAGAGAAACCAGCTTGAGTGCGCTAGAATTTGAAAATACACAACCGGAGAAAATCTGCCACTTCCTTACAGAGCCCCTCCTCCAACACACATGAACGCGCACATGACCAATGAGGGCACGAGATAAGTTTGTGCACAGATGGAAGGCTGACAGGCAGGAAGGCCATCCAGTTATTTCAGCCGGGCCGGCTAAAATGATTGGTCGTGCTTTTTACAGAACTACGGCTTCCACAGATGACATTTTTTTATGGATTTGTTGTCAAAGCACTTCAGATATTCATTGCTATCGGGATGTTAAGAGCATTCCATGGAATATAACAAAAAGTGTATCTCGAGCCGGTTTCTCAAATGTACCTACCCCACCTTAAAGTGTTGCCACATGAAAGCCATAGACTGAGCCTTTACTCATCTTATGACTCTCTTTAAGGGAAATGTCTCAGACACTTGATATCACTTTTTCATAAAAGTGATAAAGGAAATTGTTGAGCTGATCTGATCCAAAGAGTGAGTTGTGGAGGAAGAGACGGGATAAAAAAGAGGCAATTCTGTGGCTTTGCTTGCTCTGAGGAACTTCATCTCCATAATCTACTATAAGCAAAGAAACTGTTTGCCGCTGAAAGCCCCTGTGCAAGACAATACAAGCATCCAAAGGCAGTGGTAATGAAAGCCCAGAAAACTGCTGACTCATTATCAGAATACAGCAGACCAGACCAAGCCATAGAAACCTACTGTTGCACCTCCAGAGCAGCTGACACTTTCATTACGCTTCAATGTCGGGCAACTTAAAGACGAGCACTACCACTAATTCTACAGTAAATGTGTGATTTGTATTTCAATTACATCAAATGATGATTGAGGTTGTGATTTTGGTTGCATGCCATGTAGACTGTGTGTATAAGATGCTATTAGGCCACAGTATGTTCTAAACATTTTTGATTGAAATTCACAGTTTAACACTACTTCAGACATTTGGGAACACACATGGAGAACCAAGACAGAAAATGTTCCCTGCTTCTGTTCCTATGATTTGTGTTTTACCCTGTCAGCTAATGCTGTAGCTTACTTTCCCTTTAGTTATATTAGATCTCACCTTCCCTTAATTATACCCCATTCAAGCCCGCAGACAAAACAAATCCACCACAACAAGACACTAGACACAGCTTCCTGTTCTAACAGGAAAACAAAACTACATTTATAACGGTTAGACATTTTGAAATCATCAGGTCTTTTTTCCAAAACTTGATACATTTTACAGGGTTAAACAGTAAGTAGTAAAAAATTAACAATAAATTGGCTTTTGTTTGCTCAATTAGTGGATTGCTCTTTTAACAGGAAATAGATGTGGCGATTGACTGATGTTACATTGGGACAACTTGATAGGAAAGCTTTTAGAAATGGCCAAAATGTATAATTTGTATGGGGAAAAAAGCCATAATGCAAAAGGGACTGGACTGAATCAAACAACAGAGGGACGGACCATGTCTGATCAACAAAGGTCTTGTTTTGTAATGTCCATCTTTTCCATCTTCACTCAAGACCCACCCAGCTCCAAATCCAGAAGTGAAAACATTCCTTCTTAAATTATCCCATTAGAACAAAAGCAACTCTACAAAAAAAGGGACAAAAGAGGGAAAACAAGCATTCCAATCATGTTGGTTCAAGCTTTGCAATACCAGAATACTGCATGTGAAAGCGGAACAGGAGGCAGGCGCACCAAAAGTATCGCCCCCAGGGCTGTGGTGCTGTGTGGTCAGTCAGAAGGGTGTGGTTCTGTACCACCTACAGCATCCTGGAGACAAGACAGGCTGACTCACTTATATTGGCGGTCAGATATTGTTTGCCCTTGCAACCAGCAAGTGTTTTTATTGCTTTGACATGAATGGCTGGAAAAATAGTGGCACATCAACAGTCATAACTCACATTGAAACTTTGCCAAAGTCCGATTCAGGCTATTGTCCCTGAGTCGTCAAATGAGAATATCAGAGCGCAGCATGAGTCATTGCAAACGCCTTCTATGTCCTCTGAGAAGGGAAAAGTGCTGCAGCAAGAACTTGAAAGCGGAGGAGTCACAGAATCAAGTGTCCATGATTGATAAACCATGTCTAAATCCCTTCCGAGGGATTTGGGAGAAGGAAAACATGGAGGTGTTTTCAAACCCCATGTGATTTACCCATAACACTTTCATGGAGTTTTGGAACAAAATGCAGCTGACAGTGTAGGAGTAGAGAGAGACAGAGAGGTTGAGGGATCATTAGTCATCTTCCAGACATATAACCCAGCGACTGGATTACTGTGGGCCTCGATCATTTGAACAGATGTACAGGGATTTCCTTCACTATTGTTTTGCATTAGTCATGTCGCTGAATGGCTACAGATAGCTACAGCCTTTGTTTTCACTGCAAGGATTTTTTAAGTCAAATGTAAATTGTACTCTTCTGAAATTGATTATATTCTCATGTGCTTTCATTTTTGCTGTTATGGAACTTCATGGATGTTTCAGGGTGTTCATGGACCTGGCTTGTGTACCAATTACAAGAGTCAAAAGTCAAAATGTTGACTTGCTTTCAGTTATATATTAACCTGTTCACTTAATGTCTGGTCCCTGACATAGAGACTTTATTTCTACATTGTTTTTGTCAATCGAGAAACCATGAAAAAGTATTTCTTATTATTGTCCATTATTAGTTATATCCAAGTTTTCTTTTTATTTGATATTTGTAAGAATCATGAAGCTGGATCTCAAATCTTACTTTCATGTATTTCCCCCCCACTCCTAGCCTTACCAATCAAAGGGGGATATTTCACTTTCAAGACATGATTTAAGGACAACTGAGCATACAGTAAAACTGGACCAAACCATTCAAACATCACCGAAAACGTACAAGGCAGCAGTAAAAAAACAACAAGAAGAGACCTAAAGGAGGGTGTCATCTAGACACAATGCACCCTTTTCAAGTGTGGGTGGGGTAGACAGGTCTGACCATCTGAGTACCTGCTCTCTTTACTTGTCCCTCTCTCTGTGTCTTGCAAGTTAACTTTTATGATGGTGGTCCAAGGAGAAATGCATTGGGTGTGGGGGACACTTAAATGTACACAGGCTGTCCTTGAAGACGAAAGACTAGATGGGCAGGCTACAACCTTTCATCCCCAGACATCAAAGATTGAGTGGGCCAACCCAGACCCACAAGTACAGAGCTGAACAACACATTACAGCACACACCACACACACACACACACACACACACACACACACACACACAACACACACACACACACACACACACACACACAACACACACACACAACACACACACACACACACACACACACACACACACACACACACACACACACACACACACACACACACACACACACACACACACACACACACACACACACACACACACACACACACACACACACACACACACACACACACAACAGTGTGTCATTCTGCAAAAAAAACTGCCACCACTGCTGCAGAAAAAGAAAGATCTTTCTCCAAGAAGGTCTTTCCTGAATGACAGGCCTGTTGTCTTTGTTCTGTGGCTGACGTGATGCACTGTAACAGTCAATGTTTGCAATGCTTTCAGCTCATCTTATCTTGTATTTTTACATACTACATTTGTGTTGGATGTTGCCATGATATTTGGTGTAGGGATATCCATGATACCCAAAAGATTAATCTTGTTTGATTACTTTTGCTCTTCCTTGACTTTTAAATGGGTCCAATACGTTATTCGTACATTTCATTTAGCTGACCCTTTTATCCAAAGCCACATTGAATACAAGTACCTTGGTCATTGGTGTTAGAAGATATTAGCATAACATAAACACCATTTTCCAGCCAAATGCTGGTAAAATAAGCACGTCGATGAATACGTCGATAGTTGATAAAGTTGGATCATTCACTAGCCATTTGGAAAGTGAACAAAACGTTTTTACACTGTTTCTCAAAATACCTCTTTGCCCAAGTACAGCATCTTAATGGCATTCTCATTCTATCTAATACCAATATGTCAAACAAGTTTCAAAATAATGCTCAGTCCTTTTAAAACACTTGAAACCTTTACCTCTCCCATTATCTTTTTTTTCAAATTCTTCAGGACATGGTTTGGTTTGATCTCGGCCCAACTGTCCTTGCTGCCAAAATGAAGACAGGTGATGGGTGATTATCATTACCGTCACATGCCTGGCATTTACTTCTTCAAGTATTCAGGTTTTATGTGGACTTTACTTTTGTGCAACATATTCTCACAATTCAGATTCAAAAAGCTGTTTCCAAAGCAGTGTCAGCAGCATTTAGCTGTTCTCGCTGGTGAGAAAAAGCTCAATGTGGGGCTATTGGCTGTGATCTCTGTCAGAATGGGACACTGTGAGCTGAAGGGAGACACAGACTACATCCTGCAGTGTTTCAGTTGGATGGTAGGAGAAGTCAGTAAGAATACATGGCTATTGTCTGCTCTGATGCATTCCCCCCGAGCTGTGACTATTCACCAAGGCGACTCCACTGTGTGTGTGTGTGAGACAGAGAAAGCATGCCGAGCCCTCACTTGGACTTTAGCCACTGAGCTTATGGCCATTTGGACTCACTGAGGGGGAGCAGAGATCAAGTAAAGTCAGGACTTAAAGATGGGGTGAGGGAGGGGTAAAGGACCATTCTGTGTGATTGACAATGATCCACGCACACACACCAGAATTTGGGGCAACACACACACACAGCATTTCTGGCAGCAAAGGAAGGTGAACTCCAGTGTGTTTCTGTCTGTGTGTGTGTGTGTGTGTGTGGTGTGTGTGTGTGTGTGGGTGTGTGTGTGTGTGTGTGTGTGTGTGTGTGGGTGTGTGTGTGTGTGTGTGTGTGTGTGTGTGTGTGTGTGTGTGTGTGTGTGTGTGTGTGTGTGTGTGTGTGGCCTCTTGTTTTCTTTTCCGACAAACAATGCACTATTCTACTGGAGAGAATAAATACAACAAGAACTACAAAAGGCTTGCCGCAGCCGCTACAAATTGTTACAGGAAGGACATTGAGAGGGCTGAATTCCATGGTGCCACACACAAGAGAGTCTCTAAAAAGCTTGATGAAACAGCAGGGTGAGTTTTCCTCGTTATGTTTCCTTTCCTCTGGTTTCAAATCTATATACTCCCAAGTGCTAGATGGAAATCATTCAGCCACAACGAAATGCTTCAATAGCAAAGGAAGAGGGGCAAGTACATTTATAACCTCCTTTTTCTGCAAAGACAAACAGAAGAACTATCCCAGCTTTTCAATAACAGCTATAAAAAAAGAAATCCGCCATGGCTTGTTAGTATGCAATGAGCGCTCCTAAGCGTTTAATAACCCCTAGGAGGGATCTGGGCTTCTACTCAGTTGTATGATGTCAGTTGCGCAGCCATTTTACCCCGCAAAAAGCTAAGAGGTGCAGACTTCTCTGCCTCTTCGGCTTAATAAGGAAGCAAATCTTATAACTATGCCGCTTTTGAGCCCAGATCAGACCTATTAGGTAACGCTGCAGTAACCCAATAGCCAGGCCTCGCTGTATGGGCTGAGCGGCGGTATGCATGGCCGGAATGTGTCCAAATACCTGAGCTGTGGCAGGAAGAAAGAGGCGTATGGAAGGTAAGGAGCAGGAAGAGGAGGCAAATAAACGCTTCATGGGAGCCAACACGTCCTGATGGCTTTTTCCTCCTGACACAGTTCAAATAACAACGCAATGAACCTGTTCAACACTGCTTCTCCACTTCATCCTTTTGAGAAATCGTTTGCCGTCAGCTCAACCCTTCACCAAGTTTATCAAGGAGTCATTTGTTTTGCCAGTGTCCTTTTCACCCCATTGTGAATTTCCAGTGATGTAGTAAACCTTGGAAAGTGGCCAGGCTCTTAAACCGAGGCCCTGTGGACCCCCTGCCCCCCACCCCCCACTGACACAGACACACCTCACCGCTTGTTTTGTCCTGGCCTAAGACACTGTCAGGAGCCTGAGGCAAGACTTTTAGAGGGTGGGGCAGTGAGAGGTTTGACTCACCCTCAGGGGGAGCAAACTGCAGTGGAGTTGGGGGTGAACACCAATCCATCAGTGCAGTGTTACAACAAGGCCCTCCATATCACATTCTGCCACTTTACAGTAAGAGGAAACATGTCTGAAGACTTCATTGATGATCCCTTTGTGGTTTGTTGCACAACATACTCAATTGGCCTTTACTCTCAAACGTTAAGTAAATTCTCTGAGGGGTTTGTGTCAATAAAATGACATGTCCACACTTTACCTGCTATGACTGTAAATTACACCAAATCAACATGGGGCTAGCAGGACGCCTTTGAAAACATATATTTGCAGACCACTAACAACAGAGCCCTTCAGCATGCAGAAGGCTTTTAGTGGATGTTGTGAACTAGTTGAAGCCTGTAAAATGACAGGGGAGGGATGGGTGCCTCGAAACCAACGCTGCATCAGTTCCTGATGTTGTTCCTTCTGATTGGACCAAACATTGGAATCTGATCTAGGTGAATCCAATATCAGGAGTCAGAATTAGAAAAAGGTAGGCAGTCCTTTGGCAACAGACCAGCATTGTTAACAAATACTAATTACAAGAAATCCCAAGAGGGCAACCATTTTCATCACTTACTTCCATGACAAGGTTGAACTACATTCATGCAATGTTATAGGAAGCCAACAAGGCTGTACCTTGGCTTTAAATTGGAGGGTTTTACTTATCTTCTCTTTCAGATGGGATAAGCAACCATATAAGTCATATAAGTCATATAACGCTAAAACATCTTCAATTGTGGACAAACAAAATGATAGGATAGGATTGTGTACTTTCTAAAGTTACATGAATAGGCATGAATGAAGCTTCACGTAAGAAGGTTTTTAAATATGTACTAAATTATCTGAATTGAATCTCTGAACCATTGTTCAACAAGGGTTACGCCAGTTGAAGCTCAGTGAGTTAAAACACAGGTTCCATTCTGCCTACAATTCCTGAAAGTCTTCATCATTCGACATCAGTGTAAACTCGTAAGGGCATGCCAGATTTCATAAGCTAAAACAACCATCTTTAGAGGATCAAAGAGCATCAGACAGCTTTTCTTAGACAAGTCCGAATTGTAATACAGTGATGGGTGAACGAAACGTGATTTTCCTGCACAGATGGAAAAAGGAAAACAACTGTACACAGTCTAACCAGAAAGTACAGCTTTGTTAAAGCTGAAATCCACTAACAATATGGAACCAACCAACAGACCTAGGGTTCACACAGTTTGTTCTAGACCTCTCTAATCTTCCTACTTGACCCATTTTCATTGCAGCTTCGTAACCCTTTCAAACTGAAAACCGACAAAAAGAGGGACTAGTGGAAGAATAATCTGTCTATACAGACTAGGGTTTTAGTAAAGACAATAAAAATCAATCATAAGTAATGACTTTTTAAGATATTGATAGCGTGTAAATCAAAAATGAGGATATTAATGCCTCAAAAAAAAGTCAGTGGCATTTATTTAGATTACATTTCCACATTTCACTGTCACAAAAGTACATGAAAGTTTCCCAGAGAAAGGTAAAGAAAACATCTGGAAGATGAAACCCTTGGCAGATTTGGGAACAGAGCCAATGTCTGACATGGGTTAGACATTTTGTCAGTTGGTTTAATGATTGTGGGAGGCTTTCTTCCAAATGATAATAAGTGTAATCCCGCAGTGGAGTCACATTAAAAGTGATGATTCAGATACACTTTTAGAAATCAAGTAAAACAATTGTTACAAAAACGGTGTCCCCAGGTGACTGTGAAGGCTTGCTCTGACTCTGTTGTGTAGTCAGAATACATGCCTCTAAGCAAGATTAACATTTTGAATGTGTTCACACTGGAACATTTGTTTGAATCACATTCGAAAATAACAACATGTTTCTGTTTCACAGTAGATGCCTTAATCAGTTCTATTTGTCTGTAGGGTTCAATAACAACATATATTTCTGACTACTTAAATGATATTGATTCTTAAAATGGTGGACTTGATTATAGCATTTTGCCTTCTCAAAGTTAACGTCTACATCCGCACTTAGGTAAGGTGTAGGCAGTGGTTACTTATTGTAAGTGGTACAACTTAAGGAAACATGATGTTCAAAATGTCTACTTTGAGGAAATTCTGTTATTACAACATGCAAAAAAGGTGGTTCTAAGTTACAAAGTAATGGCGATAACAACCGTTATATTCTTCGCCTTTACCTCTTGTTGCAATTAACTAGAGAAATCCTTGGTTCAAAGCTTTATAACTTGGGTATATGTGTCTGTTTTATTCAGGCTATAATGTAAACTTAAAAATGTTTCCAAGAGATTCCTGTTCAAAGTAGGAACATTTTAAACCCAAAGACAAAAATCCAAGAAACTCTTTAACCAGTTAAACCCCACGGCCCCGCGGGCGGGGGCAAAACGCAACATCTTGCAAGAAACAGCGTCTGAGGGCTTCTTAACATTTAATAAACTATGAATGTGTCATATCCACTTAACGGGAAGAAACTCAGCTAACTGACAATATTAACAATTTTTAGCAAAAATAAACATAAGGGTAATAACAAAGGCTCTGTATTAGCCCTGAGCGAAATAATGCTAACACACTTAGCACAGAACTCTACTTATCGTATCTGCATAAACAAGATTCCACAGATTCCAGACATATAAGTATCATCACTGAGCGATGACTGAAACGACAACAAACAACAATAACATTAGCTTTAGGGAGCCAAAATGGCTAAAAACGTCTTAACTTTGTTGTGTTCTGATCAAAAGTTGTGTTCAATGGCATTAAAACGATAAAAAACGCTGCTGAAGATTAATCCATAGATTAATCCAATGTGTCTGTGTCACTTTGAAATGATTACTGATAATCCATCATTCCATTGTTATGTCAATAACGGAGATTTCATATTAGCTGCTACGATAGCTACTAGTGTATAACAACTTCCGGTTCCGGGGCATTCTGGCTACTCATTCACTAATGGGTCATGATTAGATGGATTTTAGGAACTTCCCCTCGATTCTATTGGCTCTAACGGTTAAAAATAGGTGTCAATCATCAAAATCGACCGAGGGGGGCCGGAGATATGGAAAATGCACCCAAATGACCCCAGAAGTGGGTTTTTTTTTTCTAAATCTCTCTAAAAAGGTAAAATGTCACTTGTTTTGCATCAATGTTGATACAGGGTACTTATTATATGTTATAGTTTGGATTCCTAAAGCTTTTAGTCTACCATCCCATCATTCAAGGGTGGTTTTCACTATAAGTAATGGTTTATTTTGGACGGACACTATAATTTAATTTGTTTTACTATGTTCAATCTGAATTTACTTTAAAATAAAAATAATCTATATTGATTCTGACTCTTCTACATCCAACTCACAGGTTTATCATTACTTTGAGAAAAAAGATTATTAATTTACCCCTTTTAGAAGTGAAGATAATTGTTCTGGGAATGTTCTTTTCGAGCCTGAGGCCTAAAAAACAGGCTCGGGGCTCAACTAGTAACAATAGTAATTATCCATGTTGAATTATTAATAATCGTATAAATTGAATTAAAAGCAATCCATTTGTTATCAAATCATTAAGTGCTGATATCAAGCCCTATTTGATTGAGGAATGTATTATAATGCAGCTGCTTGAAATGATGTCAATGCACCTGCTTTCTGACAACACTTCTCTGCTATAGGCAGTGTTGCTTCCTTGGAGCCGATGTAAAACTCTTTAGTTGGACAGAGTATCAATAGTGATGTTGACGAAAGAATATTGGTGGTTAAAGGTGCTTAACTTCTGCAGTATATCTTACTATGTGAACCACACAGCATTTAGAGAATGTGCCTGTCCTCATCTCAATAATCAAACTTCTTAAAGTATGACAAAGAACCCATGAATTAATATTTTTGACCCAAACTGGGAACTCAAAGGTTTTGAGAACTTGCTGCTTCTTGTTGGCCCAATGAGTCAAAAGGTACATTATGGTCACATTCCTGGACATGCTCATATCTAATAAAATAGAGGCCCACCTCTTTGGCGCGCAGACTGTCCACTGACAAACTTCCCAGGCTAACAGCATTCTTAAGAT